GGAGCTCCACCGAAGGTCCCAGTGGGTGTGCCCGCATGCGTCCCGCACACCCACACACCCTTCACACGTTTCGTGGCCCCATAGGGAGCTCCACCGAAGGTCCCAGTGGTGTGCCCGCATGCGTCCCGCACACTCATTTTGGCACACCCCTCACACGTTTCGTGGCCCCATAGGGAGCTCCACCGAAGGTCCCAGTGGGTGTGCCCGCATGCGTCCCGCACACCCATTTCGGCACACCCCTCACACGTTTCCGTGGCCCCATAGGGAGCTCCACCGAAGGTCCCAGTGGGTGTGCCCGCATGCGTCCCGTCGTCTCTCTGCCCAGCGGCAAGAGCCTTGCCCGCTATCAGCCAGCCAGCTAGCTCTTTTTGCTCCGCGCAGTGGACGACCCGCGCGCGTCGCTGGGACCCCTCCGGGGCGACCTGCGCGCGTCGCGGGGACTCCGCGCTGCGCTGCGCCCGCAACCTTGGACTTTTGAGTGCGCGGGCAAAGAGGGAGTAAAGGAAGGGGAGGAAGCGGGCGCGATCCTCGCCGGTGGGCGCGCCGACATTGGCGTCGCGGCGCGCGGGCGATGCCGTCGGGGAGTCCCGGGGAAGCTCCTTGCGGCGGCCACGCCCAGCGTCACGAGTACTCAGAGGCAGACATTGTCAAACTATTGACATTCATACACAATTGCGCCACGCTTTGTCATATTCGCATTCATGCACGTAGACTCGTTCGCACGCAGATTCATTCACAGTCAGACGCACGCGCGCAGATTCACCCGCGCTCAGTCTCCCTACGTACTCAGATCAATCGTTTTCGTTCGCGTTGTGTACCACGCCACTCATGTCGGCACACCCCTAGCACGGTTCGTTGCCTCATAGGGATCGCCACCGAAAAAGTGAATCACTATTGCGGTACTCACACCTGTATATGGTTGGGTCCCTCGTCAGGCTAATTGCAATCCTTTTTTTTTTGTTGCAATATTTCGATCGTCCCGAAGTGCGCACGTGCTCCCCGGCCCGTCGGAGAGCTGCCGAGGCAGGGGCCCGGGCCACGGCCGCCGCCGCCACGGGCGGCAGGCTCCCTCGCGGCGCACGCGGCGCACGCGGCGGCGGCGCGTCGGTCGTCCCGGCTTCGGTCGGGCGTGTCCCTCCACGGGAGGAGCAGGCCTAACTAGTCGAACAGAAAAGTTCGGGGACGATGTTCCGAGGATCGTAGGCCATGCGTGAGGATTTCCTGACTGCTCGTTGTTCTCCAGGATCCGCCCAGGGGGACATGTCCGACCGAAGTCCAGGTGGGACGCGCATCCCTCCGTCCCCTGCCGCCCCCCTCTCAGCGTGTGCCCGACGCTCTGGATCCTTTGTCCTCGTCTCCTCCTCCGTCCTCCTCCTCCTCCTCCTCCTCCTCATCTTCCGTCTTTCTCCCGATCCTCCTCCGTCCTCTTCCTCCTCCTCCTCCCCCCTTCTCCCCAATCCTCTTCATTTATTCATTCACTAACCTAAGGGCAAGTCGGTTTGAAGCCCACGCTTTGAGGATTAAGAGCGGGCCATGTTCAGAATGTGGCTCTCGCTTCAGCGTCGCGCACATTCGTTTCAAAACATCTCAAGAGCTTCACGGAGTGAGGGCGGGTGGTTTTCAACATGTGGATCTTCTTTTTGTGCCGCACGCATTCGTCTCCAAAACAACGCATGAGTTTCAATTGTGGGCGGGCGGTTTTCAACATGTGGTTCTCGCCCCAGCGCCGTGCACATTCGATTTAACAAAAATGCAAGAGATTCACGGATGGATGGCGGGTGGTTTTCAAAATGCGGTTCTCGTTTTAACGCCGTGCGCATTCGTTTCACATATTTTCAAGCGTGTAGATGTTCATGGTTGACGTACCAGAGATGGCGGTTTGGAGCGATTCAGGATTGTCAGGTCGCGACAGTTACGTTGGTTTGCGGTGTTGAAGTCCCAGAAGTGGTACTCTGGCCTGGTTCGGGATCGCCAAGACGCAGCAGTCAGGTTGATTCGTGGCGTTGAAGTCGTGAGAACGGTTTTGTGGCACGCTCCGCGATTGTCACACGGTTGTACCGGGGCATGTTTTCAGTGGAGCTGAGTTTTTGTAGGGGAGAGATGGTGTATTCCATCGTCGATGAGTCTTGGGTTTCCACTGGTTCGTCGTCCTCGTCCTCCTCCGTCGTCCTGCTCCCCCTCCGTCCTCTTCCTCCTCTTCCCCCTCCCCAATTCTCCTCACGCGCTCACTCACGCACTAACCTGTGGGCAAGTAGGTCCCAAGCCTATGCTTCAAACATTGGAGAACAGCGAACACAGCACTGCATCCTCCAATGTGCACCTGCAAGGGGGGAGAGACGGAGAGGCGCGAACAAGTCACGACACTCCCGCATCGCGAGAGCAGGGCCCCAGCGCTTCCTGTCTCAGCTCATCTCGCGCGCACGGTCCCCGGCACTCCAGAGAGACGCGCCGCTCTTGCCATCGGCTCCGCTTGGGAGATCCTGAAACTCCGGGCCTATCCTCCTCCTCCTCCTCCTCGTCCTTCTCCCTCCTCCTCCTCCTCCTCCTCCTCCTCCTCCTCCTCCTCCTCCTCCCCTTCCTCCTCCTCCTCCTCCTCCTTCTCCTCCTCCTCCTCCTCCTCGTCCTCCTCCTCCTCCTCCACCCTGTCCTCCTCCCCCTCATTCTCCTCCTCCTCGTCCTGGCGCACTGGTCTCATGCCCGCCGGCAGCTATGGCGCTGGCGTTGTAGGTGTAACGGATGTTGCCCTCAATTCTCTTCAGTTCGGTCCTATGTTGGGGAGTTGTCAGGGGTGAAAGGTGGACTCTCCTCCTTGACGGCCTCCCTTGCCACCCAGAAGGATCAGATTTGCGATCCGATGTTCGATGCCACATGTCCGCTTGTAGGGTTATATTGTGCGTGCGTCCCGGATGGCCCCACGCAGCCCAGTCTTCTTTTGAAATTTTGGTCCGCTATCAAAGAAAAAGCAGAAACGTCGGCGAGTTTGAAGACTTGTTTCGGGCCAAGTTCGGCCGTCTTACTGTCTCTTGGCCGGGTCGGTTGGGACATGGCGTCGCCCCACGTATTGCTGTCGGACGCTGGCGAAACTATCTTGTTGTATCAGACACCTCCCAGCGAGTTCCGTGGACTACTCCAGGAAGGCATTGTGCGATGGAAGTGGCGCCGTGCACTTTGCCATATCCCCGACTCTTGCTCAGCCGCCAGGGGCCAGGCAAGGGTGCGTCCGCGCACTATGGTCTGGAGCCCTCTGGTCGCCATCGCGAAAGTTTGACGCTGGTCTGGTTCCTTCGGCGAAGTGTTTTTGTTCTGCTCGTGTGAGCGTGGTACGATGGGGCATCAGCTATATGACTGTTCGGCTGCATTCGCATCTGGCGACGATTTGGACCCTAGTGCGGGCTTCCCGGAAGGTATTTGGAAGCATCGCATGGCCGTGAGAGCCGAGTCGGGGGATTGGGACGAATTTGAGGCTATTTGCGGCCTGCCTTCTATCCCCATTGATATCCCTCTCTCCCCTCCCTCTCCTCCTATCTGCACGTGGGGAGATTTCGACGGCGAGTGGGGCCGCGTGCTCTTCACCGACACCCGATGTGGTTGGCGTGCAATTGACTTGTCGGAGGCAGGGTGGCCTCCGAGGGCTAGAGTTGGGGCCCTGCCAGGTCGGTTTCAGACCGTCCCGCGCGGAGAGGTGTGGGCTGGCCTCGAAGCTGTGCGTATGGGGCCGGCTGCTGTCCACATTCTCAGCGACCACTTGTCGTCTGCCAGGGGAGGTATTTCGTGGGACCCTTCCCTGGGGCAAGGGTTGTCGCCCCATGCCTCTATTTGGGGCTGGAGGAGCAGGAGCGACCGAGCTTCGAGTGGACCCCTGCCCACCGTTCTGTGGACCAGCTGATCGATAGCCGGGCTCCACGTCCCGAGATTAGGAGATTCTTGTGGAACGCTTGGGCCGACTTCTTTGCCAAGCTGGGAGCCCAGGAGCATGAGGTGGCGACAGTTGCGGTGGCCGCCTCGGAAACCCCCATCAGCAACACGAAGTTCTCGTGCAGTGTTTTAGGCCGGGCCGTGCAAACGATTAGTGCTCGGCCGGAGGTCTCCGCTCCGTGCGGGGACAGACCAGCGTCGAGCGCTCCATCTGCGCTCGCGGTTCCAGCGTTGGTAGTGATTGCGCACGACCCTGTGGCTATGGGTCGGTCGGGCCATGTGCAGTGCCGCAGATGCCCAGCTATGGATTGTGCCTGCGCGTCTAGGAAATGCCTCTTGAAGCCTGGCTCGATTTGTTCGCTCTCCCCCAGGCTTGCACAGCTTGCCGAAGCTGTCGAGCGCATGGGGTGGAGAGACAAGGAGGAGGGGGAGCGTTGCCGTTTCAAAGGGGTGGCGGCGGAGGTGGACGGTCACAAAGTTGTTGTTTCTGGTCCGATGCCGTGCCCGTGCGGCTGTCGGATCGGCGAAGTTGGATGCCCTCTCCTCTGGGTGTCTTGGCAACCCGCCCACTGCCGCTCGGCGCAGGGCCCGCGACAAGCTCGCGGACGGCAGTGATCCAGTCTCCGGAGTTCCCGTTTCAAAAAAAGGCTCTTTAATTCGCTGAGTTGTAGTTATGTGTCGCGTGACGTTTGAAGTCTTTAATCGCATGCGGCCGTCCATGCCCTTGTTGCAGGCGTGCTCCCGGCTTGCTGACTGCACGACCTCGGCTATGCACATGTTTTTTTCCTTTTTCTTCTTCTCCTCCTCCTCCTCTTCCTCTTCCTCTTCCTCTCCCTCCTCCTCCTCCTCCTCCTCCTCCTCCTCCTCCTCCTCCTCCGGGGTCTCGCTGCGCCCGCTGCCTCTCCCAGGTGGTGGGCATCTCCAAAGAGCCTCCCGGAGAAACAGTGATCATCCTCCTCTTCCTTCGTCCCCCGTTCCTCTCCTCCCTCTTCCCCCCTCCTTCCCTCTCCCCCCCGTCCTCCTCGCCCTCCTCCCCTCTTCCGCCCTCTCCCCTCCTCCCCGCCCCCCCCCCCTTCGCCCCAGAGGGTGGACGTGCGCGCGCTCACCGCCGTCCTCGGCAGGGCGCTCCGCTACCTGGACGCCGAGCGCGCGGCCGGGCGGCTCCGAGGGGGCTCCGGCCCAGGAGAGAGCAGCGAGACTCAGACTCGAGCAGTGGCGAAGCGTCCTGGCTCGCCGATAGCCCTACCAAACAATGTTCTAAGCAATTTTTGTGGTTCTCACGAAATGTTCTTAGAACATAACATTTCTGGTTGGGACTGTCTTGGTTTAGCACATCTGGCTAATGTTCTAAGAACATCGCTGTTGTTCTTAGGACATTCTTGGGTTCTAAGAACATGTCGCGGTAGGTCTATAGGAATGCCGGGACGGCCGGTCCCTGCTCAACAGACGCGCGGGCGCGGGCGTGGGATGGGCAGGATCGAATTCGGTACGGAAAGAGTGGGCGCAAAATGGCTCGCGGTTCCCCTTCTCCTCCCTGCTCCCTCCCTCGTCCTTCTGCTGTCCTTTCGCCTCCTCCTTCTCCTCCTCCTCCTCCTCTTCTTCCTCCTCCTCCTCCTCCTCCTCCTCCTCCGTGGCGTAGCCGTCCTGGCTCTGGCGAGCGATTGGGGCCTGATTTTCAGTACGCGCGCGTACCCCAGAGCAGCTCGTGCGCGCAGGCCTTTCGGTGCACGCGTTCGCTCTCCAAGGTTGTGCGCGGCGCACGGGGGCACTCGCCGGAGGTGCTGCCAGGCGCGCCGGGACCCCTCGGTGGGGTGCAGGTGCGGCTGCTGGGGCAGCTAGGCACCCAGGGTCAAGTGCACTCCAGATTCCGTAATAAAAGGGAGGGGGTCTCAACCCTCCCAGACGAGAAGTTTTAGACCCCCCCCTGGGAGAACCCTCCAAAACATCGTCCCCAGACCCCCCCAGGCCCTCCAAGATAGCCTGGAAGAGACCCCCCCCGAAATGAGACCCCTCCCTTTTATTACGAAATCTGGAGTAAGGACCCTGGCTCCGCGGCACCAGCGAAGGTGGTCACGGTGGGGAAGAAGGCGTGCCGCTCACCTTGCAGCCACGTGCAGAAGGGGGGTGGGGGGAGGGGGGAGGGCTTTTTAGAAGCACCCCTGCTTCTCAGAAGGCGCGCCCTTACTTATCTGTGGATACAGGGCCGCCGCCTTCTAAGAGGCAGCCTCCTTCTAAGAAGCCCTCCCCCCTCCCTCCAAACCCCCCCTGTGCGCGCCGCCAAATCTTGCAGTTGCCAGCTCACCACAAGTCGAACCTGTCCCGCTACAGGAGGAATACTCAAAGTCTGCGCAACGTAAAAGGAGGAGGAGGACCACAGCCTCAAGTCGGACCTGTTCCGCTACAGGAGGAACATCCAAAGTCCGCGCAGGGTAGGAGGAGGAGGAGGAGGAGGAAGGAGGGAGGAGGAAGGAGGAGGAAGGAGGAGGAGGACCCTCGACGTCGCGTTTTGCTCTGGGCGACCCCATACAGGCTTCGGCCCCTTCCCGGCGGACGGGAGCTCTTTCCCCCGCGCCGTGCCCGGACGGACCCCTTAAGGGGTGGGGGGGCGTGGCGCGGCGGAGGCCCCCCCCCCGGGGGGCGGCCGAGGACTCCCCGAAGGCCGTGCGCAGCGCTTTTGGTTCCTGCGCAGATGGTGCCAGGGGGGCGGGGGAGAGCGGGAGGGTGTGAGCCAGGCGCGCTCTTTGGACGCCCGAAATGGGCACGGAAACAATGGGCACAATGCCCAACAGCAAATGTTGCCCCGAACCAACAGCGGCCGCTGTTGGGCAGGCGGCCTTCTGTCTCAAACGAACACAGGCCGCGGCGGCGCGGACAGCAAGTCCTGTTCAAAATGAGCAGGGACTGCTGTTGGGCATTGTACCCATTCTTTCCATGCCCATTTCGGGCGTCCAAACAGGCGCGCTCGCGCCCCACCGGACTCGGGAGGGGAAACAACACACAGGCACATTGAATCGTCGATTCCCGAAGAAGAGGTGGGAAACTATGGGAAGTGGGGGCGGGGTGTGAGCCAGGCGCGCTCGCGCCCCACCGGACTCGGGAGGGAACAAAAACACACAGGCTTTTGGTTCCTTCACAAGTCGTGCCAGGGGGGCGGGGGAGAGCGGGAGGGTGTGAGCGAGGCGCGCTCGCGCCCCACCGGACTCGGGAGGGGAACAAAAAACACACAGGCGCAATTAAATCCTCGATTCCCCAAGCGAAGATGGGAAACTATGGGAAGTGGGGGGGGGAAGACACAGACCCCGAAAATAATGGAAAATATGGGGAACCCTGTTACCTGTGTGTGTATTTATTTGTGTGTCCCAGGGCCCCTTGACTCTAGGCCTCCAAGATGCGATCGGAGGATGTGGGGTCGGAGGATAGCGCCGCATCGCCGATGCATCGCCGGCACGGCTCGATGTGCAGCCCGATC